CTAGGTGTCACATTCCTGGCAGGGTGTGACATGGTCCTTTGATTGTTCTCTGTTGGCTAGAAGTATTTGCATAATCAAACCTTATGTACTTGATGCTTGGGAGAACCATTGCTGGGATGTGGGATAATTGAGAACAAATAACTTATTTCCTGTTTCTTCTCCTTTTACCAACAGAGAAACTTCTTGGAAGGAATGTGGGGGGTTTGTAACCTAAAGTAGAGGGCATTTCTCCGCAGGCTGTCCAAGAATAAATGGCTAGTCTGCTTGTGCTGATGCAATGCTGACCATTATTCTTGATTAGCAGTGTGTTTGTCTAAAACTCAACTTTCATTGTTGACAGATAAATCTTTTTTTAAAAATGGAGAACAGCCAACCTACCGATCACCAACCTGAACAACAATCGCAACTTCCTGTAGACAGCGCTGAAATGTTACCTACTCAGAATGGCTTGGGGAAACAAAGTGAAGAATCAACTCCTGTGCCTCCGTCCCCTGAGAATGCTGCACATTCTCTGCCCGAAATAAAGCTCTGCGATATATCTGAGGAGCTGAGCCGACAGCTGGAGGACATTATTAAAACCTACGGGTCAGCTGCCAGTCTGATCGAGGAAAGAAATACTAAAGGAACAGACAAACCTGAGAAGGGAGAATCATTTAATAATGATGATGGAGAATGTGAAGATGCCCATGATGAGGCGGAGAAAGAACAGGCAGCTTCTGGGGAGGCCTCTGGATCAAAAGAATCCAGTATTCACAAGGATCAGAAACTAGAAAAGAAAATGCTGAAGGGACTAGGCAAGTAGCCGCTTGCGTATCTGGAATGCAGAACTGAACATGACTCATTGGCTATATCTGGAAAGGCACTGCTGTCAGGTCTCTGTAGCATTTCAGTGCTAGACACAGAAAGCACAAATTCTACTCTGGTCAGTGGTGAAAAATCATGACTGCTAATAACAGGCCTTTCTTTGATTAGCTAAATGCCTAAAAAACAGAAGTCACTCAAGACTGAATCAGGGAATGCATGGCAATACACCAGTCTATACGTCTCAAAGTCAGATTCTTGTATGTGTTGCAAATGCAGCTGGCTGGTCTGGGATATACGAGTATTCTCCCATAGCGAAACTACAGCTGGAATAAATAGTTATTTCATCATTCTTCCAGCTTGTCCTTACGCAAAATATCAAATCAATAAGAAAAAGGGTGCATGAATAGAACCTCTGCAACAATATAGAACAGCAACCCATTAGAAAAGGCACTACATAATCCCCCTGGGGTAAATTTTAACAAGAAATGTTGCATACAGACCAAAAACAAGCAATGAGCAACTTGAGGTTATTCTTAAAGTCTGTGTTCACAATTCAGGAGAATGAGGTGGCAGAACCCTTGGGTGGATGAATGGACTATACCACTTGGAAGGCTCATGCCGGAGGACTGTGGCTCAGTGGTAGAGTGTTTGCTTGGCGTGCAGAAAGTGCCAGGTTCAATCCCTGGCATCTCCAGTTAAAAAGAGCAGGTAATAGGTGATGTGAAAGACTTCAATATGAGACACTGGAGAGCTGCTGCCAGTCTGAGTAGACAAAACCGACCTTAACAGACAAAGAGTCTGATTCGGCTATAAGACAGCTTCATGTATTCATGTGTGCTGACATTTCAAATGCTATCATACATTGGGGGGGGGGACTTCCTACACATAGAAAATCAGCTTAGCAAACAAAGAAAGAGGGTAGAAGTTCTCTCTGTGCTGTTCTAGTTTTCACTTTGCACTGAGTTGTTTTCCACAAAGGAACGATCAAAGCTGGAATCCTCCATTTGCATTCTATTCTACCACCTCAAGGTTCCGCCCCCTCATTACTACCATTCTCCTGCTTGTATGACCCGAGGCAGTTATACTCCAAAGTACAATCTGTAAGGTGACCTTTTCCCTCTTTCCTTTGTTAACTTGCTTCAGGGAAAGAAGCTACCCTGCTGATGCAACATCTGAATAAGCTGAATACACCAGAAGAGAAACTGGACCTTTTATTTAAGAAGTATGCTGAGCTGGTTAGTATAGCACTTATGGAAATCTGGGGGCAGAGTGGTGAAACCTTGGCTTGAAAAGACATGGTGGAGATCAATGCTGTATTATCAGATGTTACTGAAGTGACAGAAGAAGAAACTGTTATTTCTTTGGCCTGGTTCTGTCATTCACCCTCCTGTCTTGCCTCTTATGGAGACACCTGAAGGTCTTCGCATGGAGGAGAAGAGGAGGGTGGACAGTAGAAACTGCAGCTCATCCTTCATAAGGCATCTTCATTGGAAAGCACTGAGCTCTGGGTTGCCACCTAACAGCTTTAGCTGTAACTCTTGCATATATCTTCACACATAACAATATTGAGAGACTGATGTGCCTGTATACTCTGGGGTAGAGGTAGAGCACTCAATAACTAATGGGAAGAATGTTTCAGTGAATTCTGGAAAGTCTGAGACTTACATTTAAGCAACCCTCATGGTTGCTTAAATCTGACTGAGTCTGGATGGTAGAAAATGCCTTATTGGGGGGGAGGGGTGTTGTCCCTGCCTTGAAACTTGTGGTGGTGCACCCACTCCTGAAGAAATCTCCTCTGGATCCAGGAGGTTTGCATCACTGTTATCCAGTCTCATATGTACTATTTTTAGCAAGGTGGCGGACAAGTGGTGGTGGAACAGCTGCAAGGATTCCTGGATAAAACAGTTCCTTTCCAATCTGGATGCAGGCCTCCTTACAGGACTGAAACAGCCTTGGTTGCCCTGGTAGATGGCCTGCACCAGGAGAGTGATGGGGATGGGGAAATGCAACCCAGTTAATCCTTCTAAATATCTCAGGCCCCTGCCACACGAGGGAAGAAAGGGACAGCCAAAGTGCGGCTTTTAAAAGCCGCACCTAAATAGGCACGTGGCGGCGGGATCATACAGATCCCGTGAGCCGCTGTGCATTTGCTCCCCGGCACGATCAGATGCCGGGGAGACGGGAAGAAAGCCACGGGAGTCTGTTGAACTGCACATGTCGGAGCATGCGCAGTTCGGCAAGGAGCCGGGGATGCACCAGTGAAAGAACGTGCCGGCGATCCCACGGCCGGCGTTGCTGTGGCTGTTCGAAAAGAACCACCTCGGTAGGTGGTTCTTTTTTGGAGCGGATTATCGCTGGAAGGGCCGGATCGGGGACGGACACGGTATGCTTCCCAGATGTTGCGGTGGGATCGCGCCCGTTTGCTCCACCCCCGTTCCATCCCTCTCCCGGCCCTAATCCTCTTGTGTGACCGGGGCCTCAGTGACTTTCAGTACCATCAATCATGGTCTCCTTCTGGATCATCTTTTGGAATTAGGGGTGGGAGGCGTTGTTTTGCAGTGGTTTCAGTCCTATGTCAAAGGTGGATTTCAGAGTATGGTGCTGAGAGAGTGCTTCTAGGCCCCTTGGTCTCTGGCCTATGGGGTCCCACAAGGTTCCGTCTTGTCCCCCATGTTTTTTAACGTCTACATGAAGCCTTTGGGAGAGGTCATCCAGTGATCTGGGATAAATTGTCACCAATATGTGGATGATACTCAGCTCTATCTTGCCATTACAGCAGATCCCAGTGAGGCTGTGGAAACTGCTGAACCAGTGCCTGGAGGCAGTTTTGGGATGGAGGAGGCCTAATAAGATGAAATTTAATCCTGACAAAATGGAGATACTACCCCCCCTTTTGTTTGTTTGTTGTATTGAAAAATAAAAATCTATTTTTTAAAAAAGTGGAGATGCTACTGGTGGGCAGAAGGATTGATCGTATTCTGAATGGTATTGCTCTCCCCTGAAAGGAGCAGGTTTGTAACTTGGGGTGCTGCCAGACCCTGGCCTCCTGTTGGATAAGCAGGTGGTAGTGGTGGCCAGCTTCAGCTAGAGCACCAGATGCATATTTTCCTGTGCAAAAAAGATCTTGCCATGGTGGCCATGCCATGGTAATATCGAGGATACATTACTCTTCAGTTCTGTTTAGTCTTCCCTCTGGGGTTGCCAGGTCCCTTCGTCGC